GCCTCCTCTGCATTCTTTGTACTAAATATAAAATTAAAAAATGAGAAATTTTAAAACCATATTTGGTAAAGTAAAATAAAATTTTTTTAAAACAAAATTAATATTCATATTTAACTTTTACTTCCTTAACTTTTATAAATTTAAAAAATTACTCTTAAATTTTGATTCAAAACAATAAAAAAGCTTAAATAAAAATTGAAAGTAAAGACTTCTTTTAATAAACTATTTTTTACACCTCTGTGCGCGCTTTTTTTTTTGGTGGCCAACTACATTTTGTGATGATAGACAATAAACTAATTACACATGTAAAATAATTTTTTAAATACAAATCTATAATAAACCTTAGAGTAACATAATGTATCACATAAGTTTTTTTTTTTCTTTTTTACAAATCTAAATAAAACTATTCAAAACACTTCAACTATCAGAAAATCATGGTATTTCACACATTTTCCAGTTAGGTCTCAACTCTCAAGGGAAAAAAATCTCTCAAATTAGCGAGTCCCATGCATGCATCCTTCTTTATATGTGCATGTCTTCTTCCCATGAAAATAATTTGCTCCTCCTCCAAAAATTCTTTCTCCATGTATTATTTCTCCGCTTCCCCCTTTCACTTAAATTTTGCTTTCTTTGTCTGTAGACAAAAGAAGAAAAAAAAACAAAGGATTGCGAAAAATCATGATTGTCTAACAGCCATGACAAGATCAAGATCATCCATCATGTGACCCAACGTAAGCAGTTCTAATAGAATCAGAACCATCTATCATGTGAACCTCACATTGGGATCCACATGTGACCTAACATAAGCAGTTCTGACAGGATCAGAACCATCCATCATGTGAACCTCACACTGAGATCCACATAAGAATTATATGATGGATGGTCCTGATCCTATCAGGATTCCGTTTTCTTAAAAAACAATTTGGGTAAAAAGAAATTAAAAAGCTCCTTGTTACCCACCCAATTAAGCATCTTTTCAGAAAAATGTTCTTTCCCTCTTCTAGCTTCACTACTAAACCAGAATAGTCTTCTCTTCCTCATCTAGCTTCACTTCTAAAGCAGAATAGAGTCTTCAGGCTAACGAAAATGGAGATGGAAAACAGGCTTGTTTTCTAATGCCAAACACACCCTTAATTTCTATAGGTCCGGACCGGTTTCAGACCAGTCTGGTGCACGGTTTAAAAATGCTGGCCATCGGTTAGCCTGACCTGTTGGCTCAAATACCAAAGACTGGGTGAGTGATATAATTAATTAGGGTAATGATATCAGCAATGCGATAGAGGACGAAATTTTGGATTAAATTTGCAGCCAATAATGTTATGTTATTAAATGAGTTAATTATAAAATATTATCAATTCTAATAAAGTAAAAAGAGTTAATTATTAAATAATAAAAATTTTACTTTTTAATATTTAAATAAGTAACTCATGTTATATTATTAGTTTTATAAAATATATCTCTTTTATAATTATTAATTAATTAATGCATCAGTAGAGAAAACAACAATAGATAGATTTTTAAATATTAATATTTAAAAATTAAAATTTCAATTCAAAATTTAAAAATATATCTCTTTTATCATTATTTAATTGATTAATGCATCAGTAGAGAAAACAACAATAGATAGATTTTTAAATATTAATATTTAAAAATTAAAATTTCAATTCAAAATTTAAAAATTCAATGATTTTTTAATATAAATCTAAATATTTAATAAGATAAATTTT